ATATAATTAACATCTCCCCAACGCAAAAAAATACATCTTAAAAAATACAGTATGTATACATGCACACGTACATGACCGACTCCCACCTGTACATGTACACGTACCTAAAGCTTTACTTTCCACAACATGCAAAAAGAAAATTCAGCTTTTTCCCAGAGACCATGACACAGTGGATTCCACAGAAAAAAAAGACCAATCAAACAGTGCACATATACATGTATGTATGCATTTACCTACATGTACAGGAATCTTCTACTGACAAAACTTGTACATGTATGCATGCGCAATGCCAAAGCCAAATTTTGGATGGCTTAAAAAATAAATGGTTACATAGATAAAGTAAAAAGTGCTTTTTTTTAAAAGTGTACTCTTTTTTTCAAAGAACGCACTATTCAAACAAATGTTAATGAAGTCTTAAACCCGTTCAGATTTGGGATATTTGGCAGGTTGCATGCCGAGTGTGGTTCTTTCCATGCCACAACCACACCCACTCACAAACGAGATAACACATACTCACAAGAGAGACACACACCCTCTCATGGTGCTACCGCAAACGTTTTACATGTACTTCACATGCTGCGTCCTATCAGTTTTGAGCTGCGGAAACTCAGATGGTCAGGGCAAACTTACCGGTGTGTTCTGATCATCCTGTATCTTGTACTTGAGAATGAAAGCTGGTTTGCCAGTAATATCAACAAAGAGGAAGAATGCGTTGAAGAGCCAGTAGAACACAAAGGTGACCATCTGAGTGCCTGCCATCAATATAATAAAAGTATTCAAAAATGGCCGTTTCTGGACTCAAACAGCATTAGACACAACTTTAAACTACTATCAACTTCTAGGGTACCAGTACATGCAGGTATACATGTAGTTTGTAGTATGAAAATACTTCTAAACAAACAAGATATGACAAGTGCCAGCTTTACAAATCTGTATAAATGTTTGAAAAAAAAAAAAAAGATTCCAAATTTGATCTACCGCACATCTAATGCAAAAGAAAAGAAAAGGTGAATATCTTCAGTAATCCACTTGTGACTACATGTACATGTGTACATGCACATACATGTATGTAGCTACATACATGTACAGTGTACATGTACATATGCACAGGTAATTACAGGTACATCAGGTTTGGGAGCCAATGGATTCAACTCTATGGGTTATCTCTGGCGACATCAACCACCCTACATGTACATGTACCTTTTTGTTTAGGTTACGTGGATTCTCTAATGAGCCATTTTGTCATTGTTTACTGATTTCATCTGAATGAAAATACTAATGATTATCGATTAACTGAACAGAATATATAACCGAATAATTGGGAGACTGATGCATAATACTTTATAATCAAGACAGCAAAATAGTATATGTCGACAAAGGGAGAAAGTGTTGCACACAAGCCACGCTGCAAGAGACACGCCAATGGTTTCTCACCTACTACTTCAAGCATGAACAAGTTTCCTCCAAACAGGTGGTACACCTTCATCCACTGTCGGTTCCAGAAGTCACCCGAAGCACCCCAGAACGACTGCAGATGCCAGGTCAGGGAATTGCAGGCGGCTGCAAAGACGATGACAGCCCCTCCCACAATGAAGATCACCTTCTTGATGGTGTCTGCCCATTGGCTCATCAGTTCAGCTTGGGGAGTCTGGATAAAGGATTGTGATCAGTTTGTCAGTGATTTCATATTAGCCGGTACATTGTACTTGTTCATTATACAATGTGACAGGGTACAGGCTTGCACATGTATGTACTTAGGTATTAAGGCACATGTACATGGACATGTAGGGCACAATCGACCGAGCCCATACAGTACATGTACATGTACAGTACCGCAGGAAACGGTCACAAACTTTGATGTTATTTATAAATGTCTATTCCTCTCAGGTTGTGGTGCACACAAGAGAGGTGTACACACCACATAACAGTGTTGTCAAGAAAGCTATCGATTGGAATTTTTCTCTTTTTGCAGTACAGTAGTATGACCAAAGTGAAAGGTTATCAGGAAAAAAGAGTGACACATAATTGAATGTGTTGAAAGTGCGATGATGTTGATCAACATAATCAACGAACGTACATTTACGGTATGTGGGCCCAAGGGAAGTTCCTGATTTTCAGTTTTGAAATCCCTCACTTTACTTGTATTTATCTCGTGTTCTTCCAATTAACAGATGTTGAAAATCTTTAAATACTCTATACATGAAGCTCTTCAACATAAAGTGGAAAAAGTCTACATTGAGCCTTTCAGTAACTGAATGAAAGTTTCATAATAAAAACGTGTTTTTAAAAAGCTGCGTTGATTTAAAAAGTTTACACAATTTTGATATTATGCATGCATGCTTGCTTTAAACTGCAGCAAGAGCATGACCTGTTCTGAAATGATTCATTCAGTCGGTGAACTGGAATCTCTACGTACATGTACACGTACCTTTGCTTCCTGTGGCTTTGTATCAATTTTAGCCGGTGCCCTGCTTGGCCCAGCACAGCAGCTTTCTTCCCTCACAGTGGCGCACTCCATCTGCCAAGACATTCAACACGTTCAAGAGAATAAAAGGCATCAAGTTGAGAATTTCTATTTTTTAACATGCTGTTCAAACAAGTCTGACTCTTGTTGACATGTATCAAGATCAGTATTTTGGACTGCTGTTTTCAGAAACGTACTTGAAGAAAATGTGATCGGTTCAGTCATACAAGGATGATGGTTTGGCGGTGCTTTTTTGTGCTTTTTTTTAGAGCTTGTGTTGTACATCGATATGGATTTTACTTGCTGTTTTTATGACACTAACGACAGAATTGAATGACGTTCGTGACTGTCGACTTCGAGATCCAATTAATTGTGAGAGGTATTTTTTGATGTCGTGATTATGGTTCTAATATGTACATTATTATCACCTTTCATCACGTATAAATCTGAGTAAAATAAACGTGGGGATTATCACTCCTCGGTAAATTTTATTGGCTAGGATTTCAACAGGTTGTTCACGTCCGTCAAAAATGCTGGCATTTGAGACTTTCATTAATTAATTCCAATTAAGTTGAAAAATGGACACGGTCATCATTGTTCCAAATATCAGCCATGACTTCCTTCATTACATCAGACACTGGGAATTAATTCACTGCTGTTCACTTCAGGAAAAATGACCCCCCAAAGCTGAACACTATCTGATGGTCCATATTTTGAGGAACCTGCCACATATTCATGTACTAGTACATGTACCTGTACAATGTACATGTACTTTACAAGTTTTTTTCTTACGATCATGCACATTTGTGGACACCTGCTTGGAATTATTATCAACATGATACACTGTACATGTGTACATACACGTACATGTATGAATGCATCATTTAAAAGTAAACATACATCAAAGATGAATTTGTAACTTGTACCGTACAATATCTACAGCAGGATGATTTTGATTATAAAAAGTGGGTAGTGCATCCTCCATGTATGAGTATGTACATGTACTTTTGGCTCTGGTGTTTTTCACATGCAATTTCTAGGACCATACAGCACAAATATTTTCTCTTCATGTCACAAATCCACTTTGAAATTTACATGTAGCATTTAAGAGGCCGTGGTACAATGAAACAGATGAAGTGGCCTCGATGACCAGAGTTGATCTTCCAACTTGCTGAAGTTCCATCACATGTACATGTACCATACACCAATGTACGGTCAGTGTTCTAAAACGTCATCAAATTGCATATCTGACCTCTCTGGTATGTTACCGGAATGAATACGTGTACACATATGTGGGTCTGCATTCTCCGTAACATTGTTTAGTATTAACAAACATTCTGGAGGAGCAATGGGAAGTGTCCCACTGTGACGGGCATGGTGATAATGCACAACACAACGATGACATCCAAATCTTCCTGATCTGGTTGTTGTGATGACAATCTCAGCAGTAACATGCGTGCTGTCCCATGGATTTCTTTTAGGCAAGGGTTTTTACAATGCTTTCCAAGCTGCACAAGAAAATGCAAACTTCATAGTTTTGCCATTCCTCCATTACTGGGGAAGTATCAATCATCCAGTCTGACGTCATTAGCAAGTGCCATGCAAACTGTACCGGTTCTTACATGTACTGTACACAGTACAGGTATACATGTACAGTACGTACATGTACATGTGTATCTGTATATGGATGTCACCATGTCACATGTACACAGTATGTATCCATGCAGTGTATTATAGCTGATCTTAGTGCACTGTAGGTACATGTACATGTATACATGTAAGCCTATGATAGGGAACAACGCTGATATTAAAAAACAGGAAGTGTACCATCAAAGACAAGCAAAAGAGGCAGGGGACTGCATCTACAATGTACGGGAAGGTCTACAAGTGCAGAGTAGTCATGTGGCTGTGCCTGTACATGTACCTGAAGTGAATGCCAATTTATAGGTCGATTATGTGTACGTGTATGTACAATGTATGTATTGTACATGTACATCTCTACTAGTGCAACATGCATTAATTTCTACATGTACAGTATGCATTATGATTAATGAATAACATATATTAAGCATGTTAAGCACCGGTACGTACTTGCATTTACATGTTCACTGTACATACATGTAACATACACGTACATGTACAGTGTACATACCCGTACTTCATTTAACAAACACATTTTGTAACATTCTTGGGCTCATGCCAAGATTTCGCAAAAACTTAATACCCCCTACATGCCCAAGGTGAATGACTCAGGGAAGATGGCAATTGAAGGAGCATGCTGAACATGTTGAATCGGTGCCAAAAAATGCCAGCTTAGAAATCTATTGTGTGATCTTTCTGAACCAGTGCCAAGAATCAACCTGGAATATACAGAATGTCAAACAGTGTTAATCAGCAATAATGACGACACTGCACATGTACATGTATGATCCATGTGCAAACTTTTCTTCACCAATTCACCATCAAAGAGTTCACAGGTACATGTATGTGTACATGCACATGCAGTTATACAACTTCAACTGTTGTTTAGTAAAAAACAATGTCGCAAACTATTAACCTGAAATACATGTACATGTAGTTATTGACAGTATGGATTTAAAAACTGATTGTGTGAAATTTTAGGCTTGTATATTGATGACAGTTTTTCGTGGAAGAAACAACATATAATACATGTCCATGTATCCGGGTCTGGGCATTATTTCCAGAAACACAGGTGTCATATGTAGACTAAAACCTTCTTTCCCCTCAGGACATATGTATTACTTAAGCTTTACTTTAATTCCACCTTATTTCATAACTGCAGTGTATGTTTTGGTTTAATGGTTTAATCATGCAACACAGTGATACCTGAGGGTGGGACGTTTACATGTTTAAATGAAAAAAGTTTCAAATCCGTTTACAAACTTTTCTGGGCATTCATGAGAGTGGCAGATGATGAACCCCACAGCTAGAAAGGTCCTCATCTATTTTGTGATGGTTTGGACTTGATTACATGCATGACCTGAACTTATTAGGCCATGAGAATGAAAGTTTTAGATTTGGGTCCACTGCCTGCATGCTCCAAAACATCCCACCGAAAAAATTCGTTATTTAGGCCTATAAAAAAAGTCATCAATTTTCACAAAAATACTAGGCCTAACCCCCCATCAAAAAAATTTAAATCCCAAATCATAAAACAGCAATAAAAGGGTTAAAAAATGTACATACCTACATGTACATGTATCTCCGCATACCTACATGTACATGTACCCACGGTGCAAGCTACCCAACGATTAAATTTTTCGACACATACATATGCATGTAGTCACGATGTACATACGCACTGCTCTGGGTATTTGCAGATGCGACTTTGCATGACCTTCTGGACGAAAATCTAGAACTTTCATTCTCATGGCCTTACTCACCCCTTATTTGCCTTAGTTTAACAATCAAGTTCCATGTCCTAGTCAGTGCACCGCAACAGCAATTACATACCGGCACATCATGTCCGGTAACCTACATGTAGGTCTACCTGTCCTGCCCGTAGTTGTAAGCTGGCTACATTTGTAAACTGCATTCACGTTCTGTACATCACATGTACATGTACGTACATGTATACATGTAGGATGTGCACACATGTAGGCCTATGACTATGAGATACTGTAATGACGTGCATGTCCTCGCAAAATCCACATAGGCCTATCCTCTCATAAATTTGTGAAAAGCACCCTTGTTCAAGCTTCCTTGTGCTGAATTTACATTCACTAAGTACTCACCTTTCAAAACGTGGGATAATATCAGCAATAAACGTCGGTTTACACCATAAAACGCTTCTCCATAAGAAGCGGTCAGACAGTTTCAGTCCCTTTCCCCGAATACAAATTACTAGCCTGTAACTGTTTTGTTGACATTACGTCAAACGACATGTGATCAGTGCGTGTGACCCATAGCTGGTAACCGTAATTATACGTATAACGGAGGGCCGGCTCAGTGAATACCAATGACAGTGTCCCAAAATGTAAGCAATAAGGCATCCCATGTTGCATAAGCGAAGACCGTGAAAGTCAACTTAACCTTCATACTATGCTCAAAACTTTGTCTAAGAAATTCTAGTCAGTCATTAAACTTTAGTGTATCTTGTTTTTTAAATTTAAAACTGAGTATTTATAAAGATTTGACGGTCCTTGTACGTTTTGTTCCGATTATTTTGTTTTTCACTAATTTTGAAAACAAAAAATGGAAAACAAGTCATTCAAATATCTTTTTTTCGTTTTAAAAAGAACGGAAGAACCGAAAAACTATAAAGTAAACAAAGCCAAAAAACAAAGGATTTTGAGACTTCTGGTGCATGTAGGGCAATAGGCAAAGAGAAGCAATTTATACACGCTCAGTTTTGTAGATATTATCGACACCACCCAATTGAGACGGAACGTTCTTTTAAGAATGTTACAAATTTCTGGCTACTTCTTTCTTTACTTTGTTATCTGACAAGCCATAAGTTCAGACGTTTCTTCTTATTTTTATCAAATGAAACGTAGAATTTTTTGTTCTTCAAAATATAGATCAGAATTTATTCGTTTTAAAATTTAAAACTCAAAAAAAAAACGACGGTCGTGTTCGTTTGTAAAAAAAACGCAAAACGAACTTATTTTTCTTCTTTGTTTTCAAATAGAAAAACGAGAAAAACCTTTCGTGTCTCTTTCCACTTTCAAATTTAAAAGCACAAAGCCCCGTTTTCTGTTGTTTCTCGTAAACTTAACTATAAAATCTACTTAAAAAATTTCATTTGTACGCAGAAAAACGGATAATTAACGTCATGTTCACCCCGGGACCTCAAGGACACAACAAGAATGCTTTGTCAATTTTCCACGGCCAGTCATAATTAAAAGTGGTGTAACCATGGGAACCGCGCCAGGTAGGGGCAACATGGTATTTTTTTTCAAAAGTGACCGTCCATTTTTTCCCACCGGTAAAAGAATGAATCAAAATCAGCTCCGCTTCCAATGTCAGGCGATGGTACCTTTTCTACACCATTTATCAAATCGGCAACTTGTCTCCAAGGCTGGGCAACTTGCCTTCCTCTGGATATTACATGTACACGCCACTGTGTTTTTGTAGCGAGTGGCGACTGACTTCATAACTTGTACTGCGGTGATTTTGCGTCTGCAATTTCTGCATTCACTCGATTTACTCAACTCACTGCCCTTCCATAGGTGTGTTTGACTTTCGGCCAATCACAACGTCTCCCCTACTGACTTGTTCAACTTTCTTACACCTCCAGGGCGGGCCGTTTTCTAATACTCAACTTCGGCTCCGTCTCGGGCTTCAACTGTTTTTTTTTTTTTTTTAACTAACTGACATTGAAGCTGTAAGCGCAGTAATTTAGTCCAATAGTGCCACAAAACATCAAACAAGATGGAAGAGAGCTAAAAATTACAGTAATCCAATGTAATTTAAACGCTTCATGCCCACAATCGGGGATTGGTTTTGGGGACGAAGCTTGAGACGGATCTACGCCAGCCAATCAGAATGCTTGCCAGTGCGGCCAAACTCAATTGCATTCAGTGCAGTCACGATAAAGTTATGAGGTTCAGTTATCTCCATATGAATTCATATTGATACACTTTTTCAGTGTAAAGATTACCAACCCTCATTATTTCGCACATATGAAATATCTGGCGTAGTTTGACGATCATACAATTTACCCTCCTACTGCAGATTAAAACAAAGTGACAAAACAGGTTTATTGTATTTTTAAAACTAAATTCCCCAATAGCTTCATTGGCTTCTTGTGGCGTACTTTATCAAAATACAAGACACAATTGAAAAAAAACCCTGATTTTGCAAAAAAATCCAAGAAAATAAAACAAGGCACTCCAAAAATAAACATATTTTAATGCACATTTTTAATCGACACATTTAAACAATCCATCTGCCCTTCATACTTTTAAACATTTTTCATTGCACTTTTTTCGACTGGATTTCTGCAAACCTAACATACTTATTCTGACTTTTAAAAAGTCAGAATTAGTTAGATGTAACGCGTACAGTAAAAAGAAATGTCAGTTAGAAACAAGAAACTTCTGATTTAAATGTATCACATCTCCCCTTTGAAGAAAATGCTGGCACATAAGTTTCTACAAAATGAACAATCATTTGCATTTGAAAATACAAACTATTCTTTCATTGCAAGGCAGCTGCATGTATTGTAGTAGTTTATATATATTTATTTCATTGCAAATCTTAATACAATATTTCACTGCTAAAAACACGAGTGGGTCATATGAATAAAACCTAGCAAATGCTACGAAGTTCAAACGAATAGCAAAAGCATTTTACTGAGAAGTAAAACCATTAAGAATAAGCAAATGCATGAATTTGTATGAATAAATGTTTCTTTTACTATTCAGCGTCTACTAGTATAAAGAGTAGCAAATACTTTATGCTGACTGCACTTCCAAATGGTTTTTGCATGTACACATGTATAGATGCACACAGTGAAACATGCGCGGGTGCTGTATCTTGAGACCTCAGCATGGCAGTTACTGCACGATAGCAGTAATTTTGATAGCAAAAACCTTGAAGAAAATTGCTCTGCCACTCTCAAATCGGTACAACTGCCTGCATCAGATTTCTTGAGATTCCCTCCTAAAGGCATACAATTTTTCCTTTCGAATGACATTCATGAACGCTGCCATTTTGAATGTTAGCAAACATGATGCTCCTCGTTCCTCCTCTGATCTTTTAATAATATGAACGTACCCACAAGGTTTGCTTTTTACATTAAAACAACAATCCTGCAAACATTTTGCATTTCTTCTGCATAAACTATGAAATAAACATGAAGTACAATTTCTCTGATTAATAATTCTATGGATCAGAGTAAGTACATACAAAGATATTGTCGGTGTTCTCACAAAGTGACCAGAACCTGGAAGATCAATAATTTTTCAATCCAGAGTTTTTCCTACCATTTCAGTTATTTGATTCAAAGAACACATTAGCTCAGTTTCAAGCAAAATGTTGTTTACTTTCCTATTACATGTAATTGTAAATGAACACTCATGTATGACAAAAGCTTGTCTCTTGTTTTCCTGTTTTCGGAAAGCACCAAAAGTCAACTCTTTAGCTGGGCACACGAAATGAGAAAAGGTTTTAATGAATCACTTTTAATTCAGCACTATTACAACAACTGTTTGGTATCCAACAATACAATGTAAAACCAATGGAGCTGTACATGTATGTACGTCTAATAGTGTTGGAAAGTTGACACAGCTATAGATACATGCGTAGTTGAGAAAAACGAATACATGTACAGGTGGCAAATTGGCTCAGTTCAACTAAGCTCTATACACAAAGGTTAGAGATGTGCGTTCAGATAATTGCTGTTTCTGAGAGTTTGATTTCCTTTTGCAAAAACATGCAATCATTGCATGGTCTATTGACCCTGTCCATACAGTAACATCACAGGAGCTATAATGATCTTTCCAATTACTACAACTAAGTTATGCAGCCAATTGGCTCCTTATCTCCAGTCGCCTTGGTATGACATAGTATGCGAAGTGAATGAGAATATTTCTTTTCCTCCGTAATGGAATGTCACGTGCAGGCCGTGGCAGGTGGCTGCTCTTCAATGTAGGTATCTATTAACACACATAGAGTACCGAAGCGTGACGTCATTTTGAACCATTAATTAAGTGCAGTGCAAACAAAATGAAGTACACATGTGTGGGTTTACGCGCTGCATGGTTCTCACACTAATGCCTTTCACGCACATAATTGCGCATGTGCGTGAAAGGCATTAGTGTGAGAACCATGCAGCGCGTAAACCCACACATTCATTTGGGTACTCTATATTCTGCCTAAGAGGGAGAGCCCGGGCAAGAAGTGAATTGGCTTGTTCACATAGTCACAGCCTATGGTGAGCAGCTGAATTCAAACTCATGGCCCTCTGGTCCTGAGTCACACACCTTATACCCGCTGAGCCAGACTCCTCCCTAGATCCCTAGATTTTATAACACACCCTACCATCAACATACAATAACACCAGGCAAATCATTCCCACCATTCTATTCTATTACACACAGCATATAAATGTCTTGAATCCTAGCCAACTCACTTCAAGTGGTGGAAGTCGTGCGGCAGGGGGTAGCCGGCAGTGGGAGATGACTGCTGAGGTCAGGGCCATGGTCACCCAGACCACGGCGATGTGGGAGGACATGAGCAGCGGTCCGATGAGGGTGGGCAGGCTGAGGTTGGCAAGGACGTGCACCACTTGGTGGGCATAGGGGCCAGGATACCGAAGGGTGCAGTCCACTCATGGTGTTGCTTGCTGAAGTGCTAGAGGCGGAGGTGGCAAGTAACCTGGGCAATGACATACACGTACTACAGGTATCAACAAGTACTATTCGGGCTGGGGGGAAAAAGTATCACACATTCATTTTCGACTTGTACATTTAAAACCAGATAGGGGCCTGGTATTGACAATTTTGGCTGAGCTTAGCTGAATTCCCATTCATACATAATCTGGTGAAGTTTCCATATTTTTCTAACAATTTCATTAAGTTGTATCTTATGGTTTGTAAAACACCCATCTCGCCGTATCTATAAACAGTTATGGTGCAATTCTGACTGAAAGTGGTCTCGATAGTTGAATTGCACGTGCCTACACTGTACATGATGATGTTGATTGTCAATTATGAGGTTTAGGGTCCATAAAATAGGACTCAAAATTTCCCATGAGATTTGGGAAGTGTTTAAAAGTAGCTGATACGCTTATCTTACATGTATGTTAAAAACTATATGTTTTGTGGGCTCTCAAATGGACTGATGATAGGATTAAGTACATTGTCAGAGGTGCAGTATCATTAAGACTTAAGAAGTTTTTGCATTTTATGAATGTCGGCACCAGTTCCCGGCCAAAAACTATAAAATGAAAAATAAGGCTAAATGGGCCAGGGTTATTTATTTTAACTGTAAATTCAGCCAATTTTCAAAAGCTTGTTCATTAAATTTAAATTAAATTTGAAATCAAAGCCACGTACTGATGGACTAGCACTTTCTTGAGTAAAACCTTAAACAATGTTCAGGTGGTTGGTTTTTAATTCAGATAATTTTCATAGTTTTGAACAGCTGTTAATCTTTCTAGAAGTTGGAGCTAAGTAAGCAATGCCTATTAAGGGAAAACATTTTAAAAAAATAACCATTACATTTTCACACAAGTCTAGTAAGATGAAAAGGAACTATGTGGGGAAGAATATTCAATGTTTCGGAAAATGAGAATGGTGCAGTTGTGCAAAATATTCCTAGACTGAAAATAATGTGCATCTGTCATTTCTTGCAAAAGTGAAATAAAAATTGCAATACCAACAGATGAAAAAATTTAACACATGTACTGAAAAATCAACACATTACAACTGCACCTGTGAAAGAAGTTGAGAAACTCATCTCCTCAAAGATGAGGAAGACGACAAACTCTACAAAGACACGGTGGAAGGAGGGCAAGGCGGGGTCCACACTGATGTCACATCATAAACCCAGAGGGTACACGCACATCAGAAATGCAAATTTGACCATGGTGATGTTGAGCAGTACTGAACAGAAGTCTTCTTCAATCGCTCCCAGCCCACCTGAAATGAAGCAGTTAATGAGAGAGTCGTAAACAAGCAAAATATTCTGGACTTAAATTTTGTTGGTTTTTTGAGTATGTAGTGTGCCATATAATACAACTTATTTACATTTTAGGTCTTAGGCTTCTTTCAAAGCTGCTACATGTATATCTCATTCAATATCAGAAATGATATCACACAGCATACCTAACGCCCCAAGTTATACAAGTAATGGCAGTATAACCCTGTATAATGCCAGTATATGCCCTGGTGGTTCAAAATTTTTGTTACATGTACTGTACTTATAGAGATGTAAAAGGTGATCCCTCAACAAGAGTATCCCCTGTTATTTGAGTGAATTGACACTGAAAGTACAAAGGCTAACTGAGGAAATACTTGAACGTCCCTGCCCCTATCCATGTACATGTGTATTTGTCTAAGATCTTTTCAAATCAGCATGCACTGCCATGCAGGCTTCAACTGAAATGTAGCCAAAGGGTTGTCTTTTACGTATTTAAAGTAAATTTACACATAATTTTCTAAATTTGAAGTTGAAAATAAAAATTAGAATAAAGAAAATATAAACAGAAAATTGTTTCGTAACTGTTTAAAGGAAAAAAAAAAGTAAACTAAAAAAAGTAAAGGTTAAGATTTTGCAAATAAACCAATTAAGATGCTCCCTTGAGGCTTCTGGTATGAATATACAGCATCAGAGAATCTTATCACGAACAAAAGATCACGCTTTCACTTACTTTTAAAGGTAGCCGCATATCAGGGTTAAGAAAATGCCCAGGGAAAAGTATTTTGAATGAAAGCCCCTTAGCCCATGTCTTATTGCTCTTCTGAAAAGATTGAGAAATCCATAAACAGATATTGATCTTCAAGCTTTGCACCCATTATCTTGTAAGAAACACAAGACAGGATGCCTCGCCCTCTTTAAAAAGACAGATTAAAAAAGATAAGGGATGGGGAAGCATGGCTTCTTCCATTAATGGTGTTTTGGGAACTGCAAAAATTCCCATGTGTCAGACCAGAAAGGCCATTGGAACTAAAATACATGGTACATGTACCAGATACCCAACACAAACAACCTGGAAGATCCTGCCTTGATGGCTCTGAAAGAGAATGCCTTGGCCAAGGAGGTGGGATTATTACTCCCTTGTGGCAATGCGCATGACCTCAAAGGAAGTTCTGCAAGAGGAAACGTCACTGTAAGTCTCCAGAAGTGATAGGGCATATATACCACTTAGAATACCCAAAGAAGCAATAAACCCTTGTACCATATAAAAGACTCTGTACCATATATGCTCCAGCAGTACCATGCTGGTAGCTTCAAAGCATGCACACCCGTAGAATGATTTTTAACCAGAATATGAAGAAACTGCAAACTATAACTGAAATCACCAAATTTACATGTAAGCTCCATCTAGAACAATTTTTGTAGCCAATTCAGGCAACTGTGAAACACTTTGGCCAGTGAGCCAATTTAGGGGACTGTGAAATACATGTATTTAATCTTATTATAATGGAGGCATCCACAGCTGCATATTTAAATGGTGAAGTCATGGTAACAGTTCCTGCCAACTCTGAGCAAGTGATGACTCCAACCATGACACTTCCAGAGAGAGGCAATTTCAGCTTTGCATTGTTCTTCTTTGTTGTGCTCAGTTCTCTGGGTATGGTTGGCAACGCTGTGGTGTGCTTGGTCATGCTACGCAACAGGAAAGTCTTTAATTCAACCACCAACAAACTTATTATTCACCAATCGACCATTGACTCCTTCGGCTCGATCATCTTCCTTACCCGACGTTTTGCCCTCATCACGCCACCTGTTCCAGCTGGCTTTCTGACGAGGCTTTACTGCCGCATCTGGTGGTCAGAGTGGGTCCAGTACAGCATGTTTGTCACATCGACCTACAACCTGGCAGCCATCTCCGCAGAGCGGTACCTGGCCACCTGCCATCCAGTGCGGCACCGGAACATGTTCTCACCCTGCCGCCTGAAGCTCCTCTTGTTGGTGCCCTGGCTGGCCGGGTGGCTCCCCGCAGCCCACGTTGTGGTCCTGAGCTTCTACGACAGTGAAACGCTAGACTGCGGCATCGCCTGGCCAAGCTTGGAGGCCCAGGCAGCAGGGGGTGTCCTCATTTTCCTGCAGGAGATGGTCATACCCCTCACCATCATGGTGTTCACCTACTCTCGCATCACCTGGTCCCTCCAGCAGCGTTCCCGTGTGCGGCAGGGGGAGAACAATGCAGCCGCCCGCGAAATGTTCTCCAAGGCAAACCGCAACGTGACGATCACTCTCATCGTTGTTGCTGTGTTCTTTGTCGTCTGCTGGCTGCCTAATGAAGTCTACTACTTGCTGTACAATCTCAGCCTTCAACCCAACTTCATCAATGACCCCGTGTATGAAGTGACCTCTGTCTTTGTTGTCTTGAATTTGTGCATCAATCCGTTCATCTATGCTTTTGCGTACGAGCGCTTTCGAAAGAAACTGCTTGAGATGTTGTGCTGCCGTTACTGGAGTGTCCGCCGCATCAATGTGTTGGAGAATCGCACAGGTGTACAGGCATCAACAGTTCCCATGGTATCTGGGGGTCCTTCTAAGACCATCCATACTAATAAGGCTGGAAGTTCAACTCAAGGAACAGAAGTTGCTTGACAATCTACTCATGAATGCATACAAGTCAAAAAGGCATGATGCCTAAAAGCTAGCTGTCTTGGACACTTGACCAAATTGGCAAACTCATTCAGTTCTTGTGGTCATACTGTAGTGCACTTTCCCACTGAAAATGCATGGACATACACACATACATGTACATGTAAAGCTTACAAACTTTCTTCTGACAAGTTCTGCAAAGCTAACCACAGTATTAAATAGTGAGTAATAATGGTGAGTACACCCAAACTACATGCACATGTACAAGTATGTCTTTTGTATCAGGTGCACTGCAAATTCTGTTTGGTTAATGTTCGTTGTATTCTCTACATGTTTTTGCTCACAAACATGACAAAAGGCTTTTTTAGGTACAGTACATGTTACAATGTTACATGTATATCTCTATTAAATATAATAACATGATTTGTATTGGTTCTTCCAGACAATGGATGGCTATACAAAAATTACATTTTATCACATTCACTGTATGCAGGAATAATGCGGCAGTCCCCTTGGATGTTTCATGCATTCACGACACGTACATGTACATGTACCATAGAGCAGCCAAACAGAACACAGTGGCCCTCAAAAAGACAGAAATAACAAGTTCTGAGCTCAGGGAAAGGGCTGTAGAGATGGACCACTGCTGGTGCATGCGCATTCACATTTGCTATTCACCAATACTGGTATTACCTTCACTGGTTACCTGTTTTGTACAGGATTAACTTCAAAATCATCCTGTTAATCAACATATAAAGCCATCCATGGTCTTGCTCCTAGATACATGTACTTAATGAATCTTGTCATCATTAAGAAGGAGTCTAGATATCATCTCGGGTCAGCAAGCAACTGCCCTTTGTTAAGTTGTCCTCAGGGTAAAATGTTACGCACACTTGGTGACACGGCATCTGCAAAGGCTGCTCCTAAATTATGGAATGCCTTGCCATGGCACATACGGTGTGAGTAGAGCCTTGTCGTTTTCAAATGTAAAGTTACCTTTTTAATGTTGCATTTGCACAATGATATAAGTTGCACTTCAAGATTCTTGATTTTATTAGTTTTATCTATAGGGTTATTATTGTTATTTTTAACTTGATGTAGGGTTATGGTTTCAATATCTCTGATAACCAGAACGCTGAGGAACACTCTAACCTGACACCCACATGTCTTGCTTGACTGTTAAAAGCCTGAAGATCTGAAATATCTGAGGATCAGTGAAGAAAGTATCGCATAGGAAAATATCATAGACTACATTTTTAAATTGTAAACCTTTGAAATAATGAATGTATACTGCATGCCAATAAAGTACATGTACATGTATGTGACTGCATGTAAATCATTATTTATACGGAGTTGTCACGTTACATGACTGTGGACAAAATAATTGTAAATATACACAAAAACTCACATATCATTTCAATGCAATGTGCACATACATGTCTGAGCGTGATTTAATTCGTTATTGTTAAGACAGATACCGTTAACATGTGAAGAGATGCGTCACCATCTTTAAACTCTGAAGATTGTGCACTTTGTATGGTACACTAGTTCCTTGAATGCAATACATTTCATTCAAATGGAAAAAGTTATCAGAATATGAGTGCAATTAGTTATTATTTTTTTTATCACTGAATGCTTATGTTGATGTTCACAATCACCGATAAGATGCAGTTAAGGTAAAGTCACAATTTAGTCCCGGTATATGTATATGTCCATGTCCATGTAGTTCAGTTGCAAGCCAGATAAAAAGCCCAACTTATAAAACTGAAGATAATTTATTCACCTCACTAATAACTGACAGACTGCTTTTAAAACAAATGTCTTGAGGTCTCAAGATATGATGAAATGGAAAGACCCAAATTTCTGCCAAATAAATGGCCTAGCTGCACTTTTTTCTTATTTTCTCAAAAGAAGAAGAAAAGATACCTATACACAAGTATATGTAGATATCTTTATATTGTGGATCTAAAAAGTCTTGTGACTTTAGACCCAAAACATTGAACATACATGTTCTCAGGGAATTAGTGACCAAAATATTAAGTTTACATGCATGTAGGTAGCAAGAAAAATAATAACAATGTAGAAAACATTTTAATTAAATGAGGGTTTGAATGATGGACGATCGGAACATTTGCAAGTTTGCACATTTAGCAGTGCATAGCCTGATGAAGGTCAGATGTCTTCCTAATCTATGATTTCATTTGCAGCTTTGGAATAAGACTCTAGCTTCATGAGTCTTCCCCCAAGCTAGCTCATCATGGAAGCCTCCAGCTCAATGCAGCCCCAATTCTGCTGTAGAAACATCTCCTTTGCTGGAGTACAGCATATATTCAGTTGGTTTGAACAGTTAACTTGTCTAAAATTGGCCAGGTGAAACTTGAGACAAAGACATACATGTAGATGAAGCAGAGATATGGAATTTTAACACCTTACATGGTTTTGTGAGTTGTAAATATCAGAGAAGAAATGGTTAAATTGATACAACTTGATACAACTGTTTTTTCAACAATATTAAATCTGTGTACACATATCATTGACATTCCCTTTATTTTTGATCCACCATGACGTTTGACAATTCCTTTTCCTTACTATTATACTTAAAAGTGATCCATGGTGCACATTCTGTCCGCCTAAAGATTTGATGTTGTTACGGGTAGTGAAGTTGTGGAATTGGCATTGTTCATGTGTATAACTGGTCTTATTTTCTGAGTGAAAGAAGCCTTCAGTCGAGTTCAGCATGGTTTTGGAATGATGGGTCACATTTGTCAAAACTGTGTACTTTTCTTATTAATTATGTGATAATTGATTATTAAGTAAGCTATGGATTAGACAGACGTACTGTACATGTAGGTTATACATGTAATTAACTAATTCAATTTAGCAACCTTAAGCATTCATTGACTTTGAATACACTTTAGCACAATCTGCATCAGTGAGATGAAAGGGGGAAAATGGTTTTGTGTTGAATAAAAGAGAGAAAAAGAATGTTCAGAAATAGCCAGGAATCATCCAGCAAGTCTGCATGCAAAAAAATTTAAGAATAAAAAAAGCGGGGGGGGGGAGATATATTTGCAGGGTTACTTTCTGAGGATATTTTCATGTATGGTCACTGTGACACTGGGAGCTGCCATATTGTAGAGAGTAATTTATTATGGTCACATGGCATGACGTTATTTACGAGCACATTATCAATTCAATGCGCATACAATGTGTGTATGTTCTGGTGTGTAAATACACGTACATGTAGTTCCAGTTATGCACCATACATTACAGGGGGTCGAGGTAAGTTGGCAGTTACTGGGCCTTATTGTACATTTTCATTTCAAGTGCTTAAGCTGAAAGATACTGAGAAAATATCGGAGTAACTTGCCTCTGCCCTTCATCGATCACTATTTAACTCGTTTCAGATCTACATGTCATCCACATATACAATTTCAAAGTTTGATGTTGGTCTGTCAACGTAAGGAAATTCAAATAAACTTGGTAACTGGAATTAGTTAACAAAGGCTGTCATGAAACACTGGGTTTAAATTCCATCTTGAATTCAACCTCACCTGTACAATGTGAAGCACCTGATTGATGTCCGTGTTTAATAAACTTGCCTGAAACATCTGTCAGTTGACCGCAGTTCCCTTCGTATTTTTTTTGGGGGGGGAGCTAAAAGAGAAATTCCCTGAATAACCCTTTACACTGCAGAGGATACCTACGGATACAATTATAAATTTATCTTTCAAAGGGCTTTATCAACACTTGCTATGCACTATCCTCAATCCTTCAAAATCCACTAAAATCCAACACTTTTGGGTCGGTTTGATAGGTGGGTGGGATGGGATAGCACCAGCGCTAATTAAGGGGTCACAGTGAAGCATGAAACCAAAATATGGTGTGTAGGATCATTTGGCCAAGTAACCTTTGAAAAAAAAGGAAGAAATATATATTCACTTACCGGGACATTCTGATCTTGTTGAATTTGTACTTGACGATAAAGGCTGGCTTGCCAGTGGCGTCCACATAAACAAACAAAATATTTACTATAAAAAGGTAATCAGCTGGGTACCTATGCAGATGAACAAACAGATTTCTCTACTCAGCATGTTCAGTCTTGAGGATTTAGAGTGGACAGGGCTAGGCTGGATAATGCACCGGCTGGTAGTACATATCTACAGATAATTTCTACACCTCTGAACATCCAATATCAACTTCTTTGTTAAATGCTTTAACCTTGAATAAAGTCTCCTCTATCAGTCATGTCAGTTAGGAAATTGACATTGCTACATTGTCTTGTTAGAGGCACAGTAAATTCAGTATGTTATCCAGTATTCACAGGAGATGGGAGGTGGGTGGGGAGAATATGCCCCTCCCCCATTTGTTCAAAAATCATTCGAATGCTTTTCCAACCACACTTAGGGATCTTATACATGTTATATTGTGTTGTACTGACAACACTACTCTGATGACTGTACTGGAGTACTTTTGGTCAAGACAGACTTTGGATTGTAATTTGTAGTAACTCTGAACTGCAAATTCTAGGTTTTTGACAATATTCATCTGCCAATGTTGACTAACTGAATATCTGTACCCCCTCCAAAACAAAAAAATATGCGGCTTACACAACACCAAGCAGGAACGTATTCCCGCCAATCAGCATGTGGATTCTCAGCCACTACTTGCCACAGAAGTGGGCGGAGGCCCCCAGGTGCCAGGTGAGGAAATTCCAGAGGGTGGCCAGGCTGATTATCATCCTGCCCCTGATGATAAACATCATCATGATCATGATGCTCTGGGTCTCTCTCCACTGGTATCCTTGCTGCTGAGGCTGCTAAAAGAATGACACCAAAAAACAAATAGTTTTCAACTGTTCTTGATCAGCAATATCCATTTCACTACAGGATTGAGAGGCTTATTCTGTAACTGAATCAAGCCAGTTAATTTGGTATTTTAAAACACAAATTCACTCAAGAATAAATGGCTTCAGTTCAAACAGTTGGCTTATGGCTGCCTTGATAGGGCTGACTTCACATATCGAAGCTCTCAAATGACATACAATTCATGCTGTACATACTTCAGCCTGTACTGTCTAGCCCAAAATCGCTCACTGGCCAAACCAGTTGCCACTGATTGGCTAGAGACTTATGAGGCTCTGTCTCATTTACTTGACTAATTAGTAACAAGGCATTGCAGCTGCCAACTGAGGTGTGGCTTCCAGAGGCAAATTTACTGTCTCAAGCTGTTACCAATTAGCTGTGACATGGACTTCACAGCTTGTGGTGGACTGACACTGTTACAGCATGTGGCTGTGTGGAAATGTCAGAGGTATGAATGAATTGATGACAGCAAAACATTAACCTATTAACCATAAAAAGGCTTTGTACTTGAAAACAAAATGATGTTCAGACATACATAAAATAAAACCAGAAAACACAAATGAACTCATGTTAGGGTGTAGAGTCCTCAATGGGGGGGGGTGTGTGATTTGTTTCTGCATTCAATTGGTTTCAATCAAACCCCACCCCCGAAAAACTGTCTGACAGGTAACGTGTTCAATTTTGGGGGGAAGACACATTTTAACTGATACATTTAGTGAATCCCATATTGTGCGAAATCAGCTCCAGTAAACATTCTAACAATGAAGCAAAAAATCTCTGAGAAGATACCGGTAATGCTTTTTTTTACGAGTGATCAGTTAAAATACAGTGAAATTTAAACAGACTGTCTCGGAGTGACAAGCTAAGCTGATGAAGGATGTCCATCTCAAACCAACGTACGTGTACATGTAGGCCTACCTTTTCTCTTCAACCAGATCCAGAGCAGTCGTTGTGTAGCCCAAGCTTGTGGTGTTTTTCCTGGATTGCCATCGGGAAAGGGCGTTCACAGGTCAAAAGATGAAAAGAAAGAAAATACAAGGTTTAATCCAAATTTACTAATTAGCTTGGTCTATGCAATGAGGGACCATTTACCCACGGATATGCAACTTAAGCTCAGCGCTGGTTCAATGCGTGTTACGGCTGGCACAATATCAAAGCAGAAATTAAATTGGATTATCTCTAATAAAACATATATTCCTGTCTACCACTTTGTTTTCTTGTAATATTTTAAGTCAGGGTACACCCTTTCTAAAAATATGTTGCTCAAGATATTTCATCCTATACATTCTGAGAAAAGTGTACCACAAAATTGGGGAATTTTGCGTCATTAAAACTTTGTTTCTGCTTGGAATCGATAAATAAAGAAGATTTATCGATGCGTCGGCATGTCGTCTCAGCATAACCATGGCTGCACTTTACATGCTGCAACGCGTGTCATGTGGTCGCGAGTTTTTTCGAGAAAGTCGAGTGCACCTGCGGGGGTAATAACAATCCGTAACACGTATAGAACAAAGGTTGCACATGTGTTTGCACTGGGGCCGCTCGCGGTTGCACATCCCTGGGTAAATGGTCCGTGATGCAATCAAAGTTGTGCTACCCTCTAAATTAGAGAATACGAAAGTCACATGGCACAAGTCAAAGTTCTGGGCAGGGACAAGAGATATCTACCTGTGCATGCAAAACTAGTCGATAGGCAAACGCAAACATGTAAATGAATGTATGGTTACAGCCTTTAATCAGCTGCATATAAAACTACTCAAAAAAACTTGACTCTCCCACAGGCAGGGACAGGAAAAAAAAAAGAAATCAACCAGAACCCACCTTTTCTGTCTTGCTATGGCTCTTGGGACAACAAAAAAGTTAAAACATGAGCAATCTATCTCTGACTGTGCAGGGACAGAAAGCAGATACACTTAATCGTTTGAACTCCAGCAAATAAAATGTCTTTCAAAGCTAAAAATGCATTACCAATTTAATTTGAACAATGACCCTTGGTTTGGAGGTCAACGAAATTGTATTACGGCTGCACTGGGATGGGCTCATCAGGCATTAAAAATTCAACGGTACTGATGACCATGGGGGGGGCTACACTCCCAGTCAGATTTTCAGACCCGACTGATTTTTTGTTTCTTTTCTTTCTTCTTTTGAGAAGTTTCTCTCCAATAAATTTACCACCAAATGGTCCTCTTTACTTGAATAAGTTTACCTGGAGGAATATGTGAAATCTAGGAGTAAATTTTACACATTCATTTATAGTACATGTACTAGTACAAGTACATGAAACTGTGGGTCTATTCCAACTCGCTGCAACCTGCAGTGTCATGGAACATTATGCTGATAGGTAAAGTATTGGCATGTCCTGCCTTTTTTTAAAAAAATATTTATATTTGACTTACCACATGGATCAACTGTGCCAAAAAGAACCTGGCTGTGACACTAGCTGTCGCACCTTTACACAAGCCTTTTATGGCGAGTAATTAAGGTACATTTCCACATGTACAGCATGTAAATTTGAGCTGTACAGGTGCTTTCCACCTTCCAGTATGTACACAAGTATAATTATATGTTGAAGCCCCCTACTCATCAGCTGATTGTACCGGGTACATTGTATATATGCAAGTGTTAGACTGGCTACAACTGGATTAGACTGGACTGCATTGGCTTGGGCTACACTGGCTTGGGCTACACTGGCTTGGATGCAGGATCACAGGATAAGGATCGGATGGGTTTGACAACACTGCTGAATTGGATGGGATTGGACTGGATCAGATTGGATTCAGTGGCAGGAAGCTGAAACGTGGTCACACTGCTATTATACTCCCTATTGGTGCATGTAGTTTAATTTGCAAGAAAGCTGCCTGAATCTTTCAAATTCCAACAAGTATGTAGTGCAGTATAAAACCAGTGGCACATAAAGTGACTTCACGCACTTTATGACAAAACTGGACAATCAGGCCCCATGTACATGTACATAAAGTGGCTGGATATTGAAATGAAGTTCTAATATAAAAATACACCATCATGTGCAGCAGTGCAGCCTCCATACGGCAAAGGGGAAACATGCACTTTTGTTTTCCAAACTCGCATAATGTTACATGAGGATCTTTGATGCTAGGCAATGCAGAAATATGTCAAATTTCCTGGATGATGTCCAACCGCACGATTTATAAAAAAAATTCACTCCATATATTCATGCAGTACTGGTTCCCATACCAATAACTTCACATACTATCGAGACCCTGTTTATGTAAAATCGGGATTGGGAACCAGTTTATATAAAATACAGCCTCCTTTAAAGCTTTACTTACACTACATGTATGTACATGTATGGAGCACAACATCTGAAAGTCTAATCACAAGTTGAGGTGGGGAGTCCAGGTATACAGTGGAAAGTCTAGTCATGTGAGGAGCAGGGTCCAGGTAAAGGGATCAGACTTCACAGGATTCTAAATGGAACAGTTGGAGTTGAGTTGAGGGACATCTTGAGGTCTTGTGTTGAGGAAGGAGGCACTAGTGTTTGTCTCTCAACCCATCATATCCCCACAGCTTTTCAAGGGAGAAATATCCTTTTTTCCTGCTTCCTCAGCATGTTGACTTTCTTTGGGCCCTCATAGGCAGAGTGCAGAATTAATTTAAGGGGGTCACTGACACAGAACTTGACACTCACACAGGCTCTGATTCTCAAATCTTTTAGTTCTGTTTAAACATTTCTTCACTGACTGGTACAATCATGTGTACAGTAAACTGATACATTGTAGCTCCATCATGAGTGGCTTCTTAATCTGCATCACTCTATCACAAAGCTAATTAGGTATGGCCTTTTGACACTGTATAGGCCATGCCAATTTCTTGGACCAAACACGCCCGCTAGGTCAAGTGACCTGCAGTGGGCATCAAACATTGACAAAAAATGACGTCCTCTCAAAGTAAAGTGTGTCATAAGTCTCATTTCCCCCAAATAAAGCAAACAGTCAGTTCTGTACTCAAACTGCTGATGTGATGAGTTCTATACCGAAAATCGGCTTTATTTTTGGTAAACACCACTTACAACACACTTTGCTATGGGAGGATACCATGTTTGTTGATGTTTGATACCCACTATAGGTCATGTGATTCAGCGGGCGATATCAGTTTACCGGACATGCCCAATTTTCCAGTGTAAAAACTGTGCTCAGTACTCTCATCAATAATTTCGCTAAATTTCGATAACCTGCCAAAACATTGGCAAATGTCACTATATCAAAGCACTGTAACCCCCCTGCATTAATTAACATGCAAAAAGAAATCAGAACTTTGTTGATTCTAGGTTGTGAGTTTGGCCCCGGCAAGTAACAAGTACAACTGTCCATGTAATATCAACAATGAAGTAAACCTTACCAAAGTTCCCCAATTTGTAGTATTTCAATAGCCGATAACCTCACCAAAATCTACAAAACCCACCTACTGTGCATGTACATGTGCGTGTACAGTACATACATGTACGATGTCAGAATAAGAACTATATGTACATGACCTCATTGCACTCTGTAAACAATTCATGTCCCTCTGGACCGGGAGTAACATTTTATAGTTTAAACCCTTCAACCTCGGATTACCACTTGCATAGTATTTTGTCCGATTGAGTTCTATACCCCAAGTCATAGGCTGGGGGGTAGGGTGAGTGGATGGACAGTATTCATTGGCTCATGTGGGTGTGAGTGTAACATCAGGGTCTTCTTACATGTATCAGGCACACTTTAAAATCTCAACCTTGCTTGTGATTTTAAAAGGTACCTAATTAATAAGAACACTGTCAATCAAGGCTTGCCATGACCCTCTTTTGCTGTTGGTCCATCTTCATTATACATGAAACAGCGATAAAAACAGCAGTAGCAACAACAGCATCCAATGCCAAGAGATGATATAAAAACAGTAATCAGTAAAGTAAGCCCATTCAAATACAGTTGAAAAAAGTCTGAGGATTCCGTCTTGACTAGCCACATATTCGAACTTTTGAATTTTGTGACCTTCGCTGCGTAGCCACGGATGCTTGCAGCATGCATTACGACAGTCGAGTAATTTGCCTTTTTAGCCAGGAGCTCGTAGAACTTGGGCCCCCATGGGAAAATGTTGGTGTCCAGCGGCTGCACATTGACGTGCATGGGTCTATCACCCCGTAGAAGCATGTTCATCACATCCTGATCTGCCAACAGCCGCCCTATCTTGTCGTTGTCTCTCATAGTTTTAATCCACGCCTTCACGAATCGCACCGTCACGTTAGTTGGCTTGAAGTAAGCAAAGCCGGCACAGTAGTGGGACCTGTTGGTTCGAGTTGGGTAAGGGGATCTCGGGTCGATCATGGACATGTCAAAGTCTCCTTTAAAGTACGGAAATGGATCACTGAACCAAAATGTGTCAGAGTCGGTGAAAAGAACCTCGTAGCCCTGTTCCAGTAGGCCTAGAAAGTATTCTTGCCGTTTATTGAACAATGCGTAGTACTGCTTGCGTTGGCGGCGAGGTATCTCCTTGCTTGTCGTTTCTCCTGAGTTTGTCAACACCACGTGCACTGCAGGGTCACCCTCTGCTCTCTGGCTCAGATATCGATAGCATTTCTGGTCCTCTGCAATGATGGTGGTGTTCACACAGACGCCTGTTCTTTTGATGCTCTCCAGCATGTTGAGTGTCATGTCTTTGAAGCCAAAGTTTGTTGTTGTCAGCATGACGACACCTGGCCTCATCTTGACGTCCGCTAGGCTACAGTTGGATAAGGGTCCCAGCCTGTTGGAATCGCAATGAGCATTCTGGGGTCTACTTAATCTGTTTACTGCGCTGCTGCAATCGTAAAGAATCTTCAAAGGTGTACGGATAGCATCATAGTTCTGAATGAAATCTGCCAAAAAAACCAAAACAGACATAATACGGTGTGCATGCACATTCGCCATTCAGGTGAGTTCATTAAACAGTTTCAAGCTTGATATGAGACATACCATTTAGAATCTACAATGTACCTCTTCTGAAGTAAACCTCAGGACTCAGGGTTTAAAAAGCTTGCTCTACAGAGCAACACACTTTCTTAGACTCACTTTTTGCGCATCTTTATACTTTCTTCAATGTGAGGAAACAATTCTTAAATCCTTTCGTAAAATTCCTTCAAACTACACTTTTTAAACGTTCAAAATTGTCCCAGCTTTTCCTAGCAAGTGAGGGCGCTGCTATTGTGACATAAACAGGGAAGTCACTGTTCAGTTTAGATGTTTTCATGTTCAAATTTTGAGCCCCAACTTTGCTCTTGGAAAATATTTTTGAGAAAGTATTGTACACTGGCTTTTGCAATATACATGCACATGAACTCACACCACAATCTGATGCTAAAGCACCACAGAAATGAACATTTAAAACAGCAAAAAGATGTACAATGTATAAAATAAATCCAGCCATTTTTGAGCAAAAATCGATGCGGGAGCATGATTGTGTATTGATACACAATCATGCTCATACATCGTTACACAATCATGCTCATACATTGATACACAATCATGCTCATACATTGATACACAATCATGCTCATACATTGATACACAATCATGCTCATACATTGATACACAATCATGCTCATACATTGATACACAATCATGCTCATACATCGATACACAATCATGCTCATACATTGATACACAATCATGCTCATACATTGATACACAATCATGCTCATACACTGATACACAATCATGCTTATACATCGATACACAATCATGCTCATACATTGATACATAATCATGCTCATACATTGATACACAATCATGCTCATGCATTGATTTGTGCTTCTAAGCACAAAAAAGCTCCAAAATACAGATTTGCGGGTAATGAGCACTTGTCGCCATCCATTACAAAGTGACCTGTAGCTCGTTGCATTCTTAAATGTTGTCACTTACATATGATGAACACCATGAATATGACTGAGTGCGTGAAGACCAGGATCTGAAAGACCTTGTTCTTAGTACATGTACTCGTGGCCATTGCTCAGCAGTCAGCATCTGAAATATGGAAATCGAGGCACTTTTGGTAACTGAACTAGCTCAGTTCAAAAATTGTTTAATAACATGTAGAAGGAAAACGAATAGAACATATCACAATGGCCACTTTACTCATTACATGTATGTAATCACTTCATTTCCTATCTACGAAAGTGTGACAAAAGTAAACTTTGTCTCATTCTTCCCAGTGAATAGTAATCATTTCCTTAAATGAGAGCATGGAAGGTGGATCTTTTGTACTGTATTTGGGCGGTTTTACATTGGACAAGTCAGATATTTCTCCCTGCATAAAATTGCCAAGAATGCCGACAAAATAGTTTTACAAAATGTATGTTCGTTATAATGCTCAGAAGCCTTCAATTTTATTGTTAATGCTATACTGCAGAAATTGTAGTTTCTTGCAGGCTCTTACACATACGTGTACATGTACATGTAGTACGTATACATGTACATGACATAATGTTACATGAACACAGTGTTATTGAATATGTGCCATTAGTCATGCTACATGTAGTTGTGTGTTTTGACATTCTACACACAAGTGAATAATGTACTGGTACTTAACCCCTTCACGCCGGGATGCGTTAAGACACGCCGTAAAAATTGAGATCCTAAGCCCGCTTTTCAGCTATTATTCTCGGTCCATGCTCGAGCAAACACGGTGAAAGAAGGCCCACCCTGGCTCTTGTGTATATGGTAATTGGTCTTCGTG